ATTGGGGAGATTTGGGAAGGGGAGGGTAATTGGGCCTTCGGTAACCTCACTCACACGACGAAACACAACGCAAGCGTTGCTTCACGTCGGTTTTCTGTGAGGCCGTGGTATCACTCCGGTCGAGCCGGCCCATTCATTTAAGGCATTTCATCTTAGCGTTCCATTTAACGTTCCACGTTATGGCGTCCTGTTTCATTGTAAGTCGCATGGAATTTGGTTACAATTTTAAAGTTCATGGCAGAAAAATCTGCCTAACGAACCAATCACCTAACGTGTAATGTAATAATAAACTGTTCGTTACCAAAAGTAGGTAATTTCTTACAAGAGATATCGATGCCAATTTATAACGACAGTAATTTTATTTACTAATAAACTTATCCAGGAAGTTAAAGAAGTGTGTTGATAAATCTAGAAGGTAGGTAGGAGGTACCTATGTAGTACATACATGCATTAATGTCACTCTTATCTAAGTAGAGAATGTCAACGACTTGAGACTTGGCGCCTAAGGCATTGATTTCTTCATGTTCTTTCTCGATTATAGGAGCTACGCGTCTCACAAAAGAGCATAACACAAGCCGTAGGTACAGGCCAGGCAGTCAGGGTACCTACAGGCCGCACACTTAAAAATTTAGTTAGACAAGACCCTAAAATGTCGGCTAAAGTCCGGCAAAAACGGATGGCAGCCGTTCTTGTAGGATATTCCAATAAGGTGGTGGTTACACAGTCGCCGGATCACCCAAATAGAGGGCTGCCTTCTGTTATGGGTTTATGTCATAGATTGTGAATTGTAAAAATAATAGAACATATTTATAAACTTAGAATAAAAGATTTATAAATATTTATCTATATAATATACAAAATGTTTTATATTACTTCCACTACTAAGTACTTAAAATTTTGACACCCAGTGCGTAATAAAAGCGAGTCTGCCTCCAAAAAAACCGTTAGAAGAATAAATTACAATGAATTGTTTATGCACTGTAGGTAAACAGCTATTATATCGAATGTAACGTAAGCATATTCAAATGTAATAGCAAATAAATATTCTCGTGTAGGTACGATCTAAATTAATGACGATGCATTAAAAATATTGCTAACGACATCTGTTGAATAGAAGTAAAAGCTAAATATGTTATAAAGCGACATCTAGTCACCAAAAACGAAAATTACTCATTAGTACAAGAATCACCCAAGAGGTGTCACTACTACGGAACCACAGCAGTGTTTGCTTATTAAAAACAGATGACGCTATTATAAAGTCTCAAATATTTATGAACGATATGCATAAACAGGAATTTCCGTTTAGTGAAGAGTTCCTTTAATTTATGAAACGTTTGCACTCAAATAACTAACTGTAGTGAAACTTGTTAACATTAAAATCGAATAATAACGAAGGTCCATATCAAAATCATAACTAAGGGCCGATTTTCCAATCAACATATAATTTTTATTCGTAGAAAGACATTATTTTATATGCAATGATTGTCAAGAAATGTATTCTCCCGATAAAGTTAACTGGCGATGGAAAAATCGCCCTTTATCAAACAAAATAAACAAAAGCGTACTTCTATCATTTTATTCATAGTTTACACAATACATGCCTATCTGACTCCTTAACAACGAAGATACAATGATAGAATAACAAAAACAAACATCAAAAAGAAAATGCAACACATAATGACGTCACGTTACCGAAAAATGCGCTTAACACTAGAGGTCACTGTAAGAAAATTTACATCAATTTTGCTTGGCACACACTAGCCCTAATTTTCCTTAATATTTCTGTATTATTGTAGCACAAATTCATATACATTTAAATCAACCACTCATTTAGACTTAAACACACCTTATAATGGATCTCCAAAACATTGAAAATCTTATGTACATTGAGAATTTAATTATTTATAGTACTGTACAATTATATTTTAATCTATTAATACACGATCTCTTAATTTTATGCTTTGTCATTAAATTGTAGACCTCAAAGTCAAATAAAGAAGGGTTATTTTCCATCCACGGGCCCATAATCTTTTGGAAACCAACCAACTGTGCAGAGGTCAGAGGACTTATGCCCGAATACTGAAACGTTACTCAATTTTAAGTCACGCTTAAGTATAGTTCTGTCTCTACTAATTCTTTGTGAAATGACAGAGATGGCACGATATTTAAGCACAACTTAAAATTGAGTAACGTTTCAGTATTCCGGCATGAGTCCAATTTTTTTACGTTTTACGCAATTGAAACGAGACCGTGGTCGGTGCTCTAATTGGCACCGACCGATCGACCGACCAATTAGAGCACCGAACGCGGTTTCGTTAAACGTAAAAAATCTTTTACTGAACCCTCAGTTAGACCAATAATTTAAGTGATACAAAATGGACACCGTATATTATTAATGTAATGATTACACATTTATACACTACACAATATACGAAATATTATATACAGGACTGGTCAAAAGAGATATCTTTGCACGAATTTTTGACACAAAACGATTAACATTTAGTCTTACCGTAGACCGTAGACCTCGTTGACTACTGGAGATAGAATTTTAACATATTTTGTATGGTCTACTTAACGGTCAAAATAATTATCAATCCTAATCCTAGGATTAAAGCCGACTTGACCTAATCCTATTGAATTTCAGCAAAAACTTAAATCGATTTTTTGTGGGATAAACTGGTAAACGAGCAAGCGGATCACCTGATGGTAAGCAATCTTCGCCCATGAACACCTGGAACACCAGAGGCATTACAAGTGCGTAACCGGCCTTTTGGAATTAACCTCGATTAACCTCACACGAAGAAACAGCACAAGCGTTGTTTCACGTCGGTCTTCTGTAAGGCCGTGGTATCACTCCGGTCGAGCAGAACCATGGCTCTTCCACACGATCCAACGATTTTGGATTGTAATTGAAATAAATACGGTCGAAGACAAAATTCTATCTATAGTACTCATCTATCGACAGAGGTCCTTAACACTAGCCATAAGACATTAATAATCACACAGTCATTTAATAATTATTGTATACACAACAATTACATTTAAATCTATGTAATAAATAGAGAATAAAGAACTAGTGTGTGCTAGAACGAAACCACATAACTATGTACAGATCAGATCAAAATACATTTCAAACATTTACCTACTTGTACATAAATCCAGCTTCATTCAAACTTCGAGATAAACTTTCATTGGCTACACACGTTTTGGTTTAAGTATGCTTGTCTCTGTCACACCTATGTTTGGTTTTATGGGTAAGATAGAGACAGAAGATTTTTTGACTGGAATAATGATGGTGTCATTGTGGTTATTTAATGTAAATTTTCAGAAAAAATTCGTTATCAACAATAGTATAAGTTATCATTAAATGTACTACGGCAGTTAAAGTTATCTTTTATAATATTTCGGTGCATTGAAAACACCATCAATGATTTTGTACACGCTACATCGATGTTCACAGAGGTTCAAATAGCTTGTCTCGTTGTGACACAGCATAAGATATTTTATCAAACCATACCTTCAGTTGTATCAACGAAAATTGTGTTCTATTGCCTTGTCAACAAGATATTATTATAGCTGCACTCGTTTCATTTTTTGGCTCATAATAAATGCAGTCTTTATCGTGTACAGAATAGAACTCAAAATTGGTTAAACCAACTATGAATACGGAATGCTAAAATATCTAATGAAATTTTCGGACATTCATCATTATTACAATGCAAAATTCAGTTTTTATAATAAAACACGTGTTTAGCTTTTTTAACACGCAATCTCGAATATTTACAACCTCAATTGTTCCCTTCAACAGAGATCAGATATTTTTGTTAATAATACATTTTTAAAAGATTTAATAATCATCTTTACGCCTTTGCTATAAAGTTGAGAATTGTTCAAATGTTCATCAATTTTCATATACACACAATGCACACAAAATCTCATTCATAGCTTTGTATATTAGTACAAAATGACATTAAGAACATTTACTATCCTCCTAACAAATACTATTTAAAAAAAAACATAAGTTTTCGAACGACTTCAAAGGCATAAAAAAAGAAATACCGAAAATACAAAAAGGTAACATCAACATGTTAATAATTCTAATTTTGTGACACCAATTCAAATTTTTACGTCAAAAACAATTTCACAAAAAGAGAATACAAAATACAATAAAAAGGTCCATGATTTAATCATTATAATTACTAAGTTTAATGTCAATGTTAATATTAAATAATATTTAAAAAAATAGGGTCTGATTTATCGATATCCAAACAGTTGGGATAGCAAGGATTATTTAAAAATAAAATAATTTTGAACGCCAGATTATAAACGTATTGACATGGCCTCGACACTAAGCCACAATTCTGTGAAGTATTATATATAAGTAGTATATAACAATCGGGACAAGAGTGTTATCATAAAGGGACTACATATTAGACAGACTGGATAGAAGCGCTCGTTGATAAACCTGAATATTTTAAGCTGCGTTCTTCGACCTTTTTTTTTTTTTTAATGGGACAAGCCCGCCACAACCTCCCAAAACCGCTGCAACTCCTGTAACGCGTTCGTTCTCCTGTGCGTTCTTCGACCTGTCAAGGGTGGAGGATATGGCAAAACCTCTTATATAGAGGTCGTCCATAGTCCATAGACCATGTATCCAACTCCACAGTGGTATGCTCCACTCCACCATAGCCCATCAGTGGTCTGTTGGTGATTATGAATCATACATGGGAGGTGTATTCGTCCAATCACATCAGCTGTCAAATATTGAATGCCAAATAGCTTAATTAGCTATTGGACGAAGAATGGGAGGTTTACGGGTGGTTGGAGGTGCGATAGGCCCTAATATGTAACTGTATTATTCAAGCTGGCGCTGAAAATCAGCGCTGTGGAGTAAAGCCTTCGTGCCCGGGCTACAGCATTACGCTGAGTTCCAGCCTTTAGCGCTGCGATGCACTGTGAACTTGTACTGTTCTCTGTGTGTAAACGGTTTTTTTTCCATGTAGAAGTATTGAAACACCCACAAAAATAATAGCTTCGTGCTAGTTTTCCATAAATTCCTGACTGGCGCACAGGGTGCTTCAATTATCACTTAAACACGATAGTGGCGTTCAAAATCATCAAGAAATATATAAAATCAAATAAAAATTAAATAACAGTTCAACCTGATCCTTATTATATTGTTCACGATACTACTTTATTAGCTCACTTTGGCTAAACATCGATTTAAAATCGATAGAAATTTAATTGATGACTTTTAGCAACATTCATAGTTACAATTACATTATCATAATCTTAGAACTAAATGAGACCAATATACAATTGAATACGACTTTGTAATCCTATAGAATATACTTAGCTACCTATATAATCATTCTTTGAAGTCAGAAAGTCTTTGAACATTTAGTGGCCTTGCTGGCTATAGGTTTCTGCATTGTAGGTTGAATGACAATTTATATATAGCAATAATTGTTAGTAAACCACCATAGAAGTGAATGTTTATTATCATATCATATCCCATTTTGAGTTTTAAGATCGTAATTGCTACTTTTAAGAGACAACAGAAAATGTCAACTTCTAGTTCACCATCTAAACAAACTATGGGTTAAATGTACCTAAATGAAGGGGTCAGATAGACAATGATAATATTCAGATATGCCTAGATTCAAATACTAGACACATCTGGATTTCGTACTAACAATTTTGAGATAGAAAAACTCGTGTTTAACAGTCGATATTGCGACATTTAGAACAACAAAGTCTTATCTATGAAGTTACATTTTCTTTCACTTTGTAGTTGGGAATAATTCATTCTTTGTTCTCTTGCAGAAACCTTAACACACAGCAAAGCATAGCATAGGAATTAAGTTTTTATTGTAATAGATATAAGTTTAGAAATCAGTCGCACTATGATCATTAGAAGTAAGAATACATATTATCTAAGTTTATGACTTTAGATCTTGTTTGTCGTCAGCGCCATAGCTTACCAACAACATTGAACCTTAATTTATTGATTATAAATTTGAAATTCACTTGTCATGTTATGACGCGTATACGTTGACATCAGTTGTAGGATATTGTCGCGATAACTTAATTATAGGATTCATAAAACGATCGTTATCATAAGACGCTCGTTGTGTGAAAATGGCTCCCTTAGTGGTCATGCCAAACGACAACCTGTCTTACATTAAACGATTACTTTTGACTTGGATAGTCTACTATGGAGGTCTGCCAACGATACATCATTTTAACCACTTAATACTCCCAACTATCGCGACAACATTGTATAAAAATCATAATAAATACATTTTACGAATACCTGCAAACATTATCCTTACGCTATAAACACCAAGACTGACATTTTGAATAAAATTCTCAAGTCCACTTTCAGCTGCACATGCAGTTCTTTATACACTAAAACACTAGTTTATTAACTTCATAACTTTCTATATAGTGGTATAAGCACAGATTGTGAATAAAATATTTCCTCAATTAATTCTCGCTTATAAAAATAGCAACATATAACAATATCGCTTCAACAATCGCAGCTAAGCATTATATTCAATTTGGTTAAACTTTAAACTTTATAATCATCTAAGCATTGAAGCTTTATACTTTTAACATGTTTAGCATAACATACTTTAAGTTTTGTACTTTAACCAACCATGTATTTGTACCACTGCAAGTAAGTTAGATAATTCACTTCACTATCACTAAAGCGTCACTGTCGCGTCACCTCAAGTGTCAATTTTCACGTATAATGAGGATCTTTTTGAAGTCCCAGGATCATTCTGGCTCCGCGAACATAAATGAGAACTTTTCGTGGCTGGTGGGGGCGATGACACGAGCCTCTATTAGGCACTGGACGACCCAGGTCGTGGACACGAGTGGGATGTTGTCCTGATTCGCCTTGTTTTGTACTTCGTGGGGACAATCCCACTCTGTGACGAGTGCGAGGGCCCCGGACATGTTGAGGTCCTCCTCGTTGACGACTCGTGTCGTGGCCCCGGCCAGGGTGCACACTCGCTCCCAAAACTTGACGAATGTATCCTGGTCTCCACATAGGAGTATGATCTTGTCTTTGAAGAACGTCGCGTTGCGCTTGCCTGATGGCGGAACCTGGAGATAAAATAAGTAGATAATAACTTTGGTATAACAGAGAATATAGCTAAAATATAACTTCTGAAACCAGAGGTTAACAGTTTGTAAACAATAATGATCTTTATAACATGATGTCAGGTACACTTTTCAATATCTGTAATGTAAACAGAGAAGACCTATTCACTTTTCGTTCGTTTTATAAGTCTTTTACCATAGGAGAGGAGCCAATAGGGTAACCTAGACTCGCATGGCATGTTTCTACTGGAGATTTGTAGTCAAATATCTAACATAATTATTATTAGCTACAAACTACATACCCAGTTAATAAACCTCTGTTTCAGAATAGACCAGCCGGCTGGTAGAGCGAAGGAGTCGATGTCATGCAGCGAGTTCTCGATACAGCTCATGATGACCCAGCCATGTGACACGGAGCGGATGTCCGCGGCGAGACACTGAATGTACTTCGCGGTGAGACAGGGGCGCGGCGCGATCAACTTGCAAACACTATACTTGTTCTTTGGCACGTCGTCGAAGTGGCTGTAGAAGGATGAATAAATTAGTACTAAATAAAAGGTGGTATTTAATACTTTAACAGTAAATTGATATGCAGTCGGTAATTAGTGGAGAAATTTGGTTTGCTTAAATTTTTAGAGGTGCAGTAAAAATTCTACAATAAAAAATGTATGGTTTTGGTTGTATATGTAGTTGTAAAACCATTTATAGAAGGTTATTGACTTGGTTGAAGATGCAGTTGAGAATATTAGAGCAATATTGTAACTTTAATGTCAGAATAAATATACCTAATGAATCTCAGTCAGTTTGTAAAATAGTTATAATTAACAATGAGAAAAATAAAACAACAAAATTATTGGAAAATAGAAAACTGCATGTCACTGGAAAACAGTATAATGTTATTGACATAAATATGTCATTAACATATCTATCGATTCTCTAATATTTTTTCCCCTATTTACCTGTACACAGTCCCGCCACCGGCTTCCAGTTGTTCCTTCAAGCGCTCCTTGTTGAAGGGACGATCACAGAACTCCAGGTCCTCAGTATCAGTGCCCGCCACTGAGTGAGTGGTCTCACTGTCTTCTTCAGACGAGTAGTGACGGGTTTCTGCGCTTTGAGTCGCCTGGAGAGTGACAATATTAATGTAGTTACTATAATAGATAGGATTCTCTGGTTCGAGATCGATTTGATTTTTGTAACATACTGTAGTGTGTGGGACACCTCGCCTTATAAGTAAGTAGCGTAAGTTAGATATTACTCAATTAAAAATATTCATAAGAACAACTCGTCTCCCTCATTGCTCCACATTGCAACACTCTTTCATCATCATCATCATCAGCCTATAAGTGGCCACTGCAGACCAAAGGCCTCTTCTCGCACGGAGAAGGTTTGAGCATTATCACCACGCTTGCTCATTGCCGGTTGGCGATTTCAAACTTATAATTTGAAATTATAAGTCCAGGTTTCCTCACGATGTGTTCCTTCATCGTTTGTCAGTGGTGCCTAGATAATCTTAGAAAGTACATATTTATGTATAACTCGGAAAGTCACATTGGTACTTGCCGTTGGTAGGTTTCAAACCCGCACCCTCATGCATGAGAAGCGGGTGTCTTAACCTCCGGGCTAGCATGACACACTCTCTACAAATGTTTTGAATCGATTTGATATTGAATTCGGCTGATAATTAGCAACCAGTTAACAGTGGGTATTTATTCGAAGACTTCTAGTTAAGATTGGGTATTTATTGAGGAACTTACAGCTTAGGAACTATCTGCATATAAAATCTGTAATGGGACACTTGGAAACTTAGAGACAAGGAAACATTAATTTTGGATGAAAAACACTATTACCTAAACTTAAACGAAACGTTACTAAACGATGTTCACTTAGTAACTAATTAAAAAGTATATAGTTTCTCATAGCTTTTACAAAAAACCGGACAAAATAACTTTACAGATGGCGACCTCTCGCGTCCGGGCCTGCTTAGTGCAGGCCATGATGCGGAGCAAGGGGGACTGGGATGCCGTCTCCTCCTTATGCGAAGCTGTCATGCTAGCTAAGGAGGCGGGACGCCTGAGGCAGCGAAGCGCTGCCTCCTCGGAATTCAGCCATCGCGAAGGACACACCGGGCGTCGGGGATCGCGGGACGATCTCCGGCCACCGTAAGCGCGGGCCTGCGGACGGCGAGCATGGGTGGCTCCCCGTCCGACCAGAAACAGACCCGAGCGTACGGCGCCGAGCGTTCCGCGCGCGCCTCAAAGAGCCATCAGACCACCACAGATGGGGCCCAATAGGGTCGATGCCGATTCGGAGTCGCGGAGAACCTAACGGGTAACCGGGGCTCCGAATCGACGCGCAGGAAAAGGAACGTGGTGGTTTTTAGTCAGTAAGAGTCTGACACTCCCTTCCGCCTCACCCAGGCGGGAGCAGTCATTCGATGATTTTCCCCCCTTAAAACTTTACAAATTAATATTAAACTTCTTGATTAAGTATAACTTATCTTAGTAGCTACTATATTTACCTTCTCAGTGCGTGTCCGCCTCGGCGTCTCAGTACAAGTCAACAAGAAGTGTAGCCCAGAGAACAGCTTATTATCAGGTCCGGGTATGGGACCCATCTTGGAGACAGTATCCTCATCGTTCTCAAACTTGGTCAGCTTGGAGTTCTTCTTGCCTATATTCTGTTTTGAGGCTCCTTTGAGCTGGAGCGGACCAGCTGCGGAGAGTGAGACACCTGGTGATTACTTTTAATACAGCAATTGTTGTTGCAGTTATGTTTTTTAACTTTATTGCAATATGTAAAAGGTTGAGGAAAGACAGACAATCTGTTATATATTTGTATTGTAACTTTCGTGAGACATACCAAATAAATTATTATGTTTTCGGCTCACTCCCGTAATAATTTGACGAGATACTCGACTAGTTTCAAGCCATGATAGAGGCTCATATTCATGAGCAGCATTTCGCGACCCGCGACGCGGCGACTGTCGCGCTGCTGTCAGTAGCAGCGGGAAAACATAATAATTTATTTAATCTGTTGTATTCCCAAACTTCATGCTATTACTGTGGATCCGAAATTGTTGAGTATTCCCTTTTGTTTTTTTTCGTCACACATTTTCTGCTTGATTAGGAATTGTGACCACTAATAGATATTTATAAAACAATTGGAACACGACTTTTTTCATATCGTGGCTGAGAATGTATACCGTTGCCGATCCCTGTTGTCATCACAATGAATATCAATCACCTGTAACGGGTTAGTAAAATCCAGATGCCGGTTACATTAAGTGAATAAAATACTGACAATGCTGAACACAATCTATTTAGGAAGAAGATAAAGAATATAAATATTAACAGAGTAACTAATCTCACCTTTGACCCCGTCAATCTTCCTCGGAGTCCTCTGTACCTCTGGTTCGACCCCAGCGACCTCCTCCAGTCGCGCGGGAGGGGCGGAGTTACTGCTCTCACTCATCTCACTACTCTCACTCGCTAGCCGCCTGCGACTCACTGGAGTACTCTTTGATTTTACACCTGGAGATGAAGATGGTATGTGTGATCTGAATACCCTCTTTAAAGCATTTTGTCTTGGTAGTACAATCTATACTAATATTATAAAGCCGAAGAGTTAGTTTCTTTATTTGTTTGTTTGAACGCGCTAATTTTATTTTCCGAAACTACTCGTCCGATTTGAAAAATTCTTTCTGTGTTGGATAGCCCATTTATCGAGGAAGGCTATAAAATATCACGTTACGATTAATAGGCGCCGAGCAGAGCGAGTGAAACCGCGCGTAAGCAGCTAGTAACATCATATTACAGCAGCTATGTTATGTAAGGTCTAATGTCCACGACTCCTAAATGACGCATGCATGCATCCTACAAATGACAATAGACAGCATACAAATGAGTAATGTTCATATCTTGCTGAGAAACAATGAAAACCATCAGGTGACTCGTGTTATTTTTGCAAAAAAAAACTGTCCACGCAGCGGCAACGACAAATTCGCATATCATCATTTTACGAACAGATGAGTCGCATAGAACCCAATCAAAAGGTAAATGAGGTTAAATTTATGTGTTTAATACAATTGTAAAGAAAAAGTAATCTTATACTATAGGTATAAAGCGGAAGAGTTTTTTTTTTGTTTGTTTGTTTGAACGCGCTAATCTCCGTAATTACATACATAAAAGATCACTCTTCGACAATTAGGAGCTGAGTAAAGCGTGTGAAACCGCGCGGAAGTAGCTAGTTTATTAATATCCAAGAACAGTTTGTCTGGATCGGTTTATTGATTTACAACTGTTACAATGTCGAGTCTATTAGTTGACCTTCTAATAAAATAAAATCAGTAGTCATTTGTACGACTGCAATTTAAACGAAGTTTCGATGAACCTAAATGTTTTTTTTTTCTTTTATTACGTTTTATTTATTTCTTTTCTTCCCTTTTTATTCATTGTTTTAGTTGAAAGGTGGATGTAATACATTTATTTATTTTGCTTGTTATTTAAGTTCATATTACGTTCATAATAACTTATTTTTCATTATGCTGAAATAATGAAGAGAAAGCCTACATTTAGCATTGGACCACTTATAATTGATTTGATGACGAATGTTTATTTAAGTTATTCAAGTTAAAATGCAGATAAAATCAAGTACAACATGATAACTGTTACAATACTATTGAAATAATATTTATCTACACTATTTATCTGCCACTTGAGTACTATCTATACATATAACGATTGTTATCATGTTGTCATAGCAATGTAATCGGTGAAGAAGTAAACAATAAATAATATGACGCATGCTGTAAAGATATAGTAATAGGGTAGACGACTAATTTTTATTTTAATGTCCGTCTGGTAAATTATTTTAAAACATTCAACACGTATTTTTATTTCATTATACAGAAACGAATACTTTCAACGATATATTGATTTGAAATGTCGCGGGACGTCACTTCTATGTACATTTTATACGTAGAAATGACGACGCCCCCACTCCCAAACTTTGATTCGTTATATCTAAAATCATTTTATTATACAACAAAATAAAAAAATACGTGTCTAATATTTTGTCATTACACAACTGACTGACTAATTAGATTTTTAATTTTCATACCCTGTCATCATTCCTATTATGAAGGTAGCATAGCAATTAGCCCTATTATTCGCCAGTCGTTTTTGTGGAAACAATAGTTTTTTTACCTTTGAAAATATTCTTCCGCTTTTGTGCAATCAATTGCTACTATCGTAGATATTTGGAGTGTCGTAGTTTGTATTGATTGGAGTTTAGACCGTTCTAGTCGCCATACTAACCTGAAATACCAGAAGTGGAGGCTTTAGGACTCTTCGGTGAAGCCACACGTTTGCGCGCGCTCGAGTTGCCCTTGTCGCGGCTTCTAGCGCTGCGAGGTCCCTGGGGAAAGAAAATATTTCGATTTCATCAAATTTATTACAATTCACCATAACTAGAACTGCTTATGAGCAATTTAAGTAAAGTAGTTGTTAATGGGACTGGTGATAATCTTTGCTTTAGGGGAATAAAAAAATAAAGCAATTTTAACTCGTCGAGTACCGTCATTATAGACACAATTATAGAACAATAGGTTGCGGTCACCGGTGACCGCTTGGTGTTTGACAGTGTTAATGCGACGGTGAAGTCGCAAGTTAAAGGGCTAGTTAAGTCGTATTTTAATAAAGATATCACGTTTGATTTCTTAACCGACGCGCATGCATGAAAAGATTGATGACTGTTGATGAAGCGAAAGGTTTGTAGGAATCGTAGCAATTCCATCTACCCCCATGGGAGACAGGCGTGAAGTTATGTATGTATGTATGTTTCTAATATGTCTACATTAGTCTTTGTAATATGTATGTACCTGTATGATATTATCAAGGTCTAGCTCCCGATGGTGTCTGCGCCGTGGCGTGGAAGGTCCCGATGGCTCTCTAGTGCGCGCCGCCTCCTTCAAGGAGCGCGCTTGATCTTCCGTCAGGTATAGCTCACTCGCTGTTACTAGCACCACCGTGTCCCTGCAAGATAATTGTTACGTCAGTATAGATTGAAACTAAAACCAGTTACTATCTAATATATAAAATTCTCGTGTCACAGTTTTCGTTGCCATACTCCTCCGAAACGGCTTAACCGATTTTGATGCAATTTTTTGTGCTTATCCGGTATCTATGAGAATCGGCCAACATCTATTTTTCATCCCCTAAATGTTAGGGGTAGTCCACTCCTAACATTTTGTTTTTTATTTTTTAGACAAAAATACATACAATCCTCAATTTTCACCCTTCTACGATCAACCCTTATTTTTTAATAGCCATTTTAGTAATTATTTGTATATCAAAACAACGTTTGCCGGGTCAGCTAGTAATTATTTAAAATTTCAAAAGATTAAAACTTTTTTCAAGTTAATTTATTTACCAAGAAGTTATAGCCAAAAGAGAGAGATTTAATAAGTCTCATACTGGTACTGGATAGATCACTGGCTGGTTTTTAGGCTTGTAAGAGAATGGGAATCCTTTCAATAACTATTTTAAGTTTTATATTGAAACTCTGAACACAATGAGGGAATGTCTGGGTCTTATGGGTCTCTTCATCTCTATATACCGCGTTGGAATACCATTAAAATTAAAGACTCGATGACTACCTCGTTGGCCGAGTGGTCGCAAGTGCGACTGCCGGGCAAGTGGTCTCGGGTTCGATTCCCGGGTCAGGCAAAGTATTACTAGGTTTTTAAAAATCTCAGTAGTAGCACGGAGTCTGGAAATGTGCCCGGTAGGTATATGGTAATAGGCTCACCCCCTATTACATGGGACTCATAACATAAATAGTGAAAAGTAGGAGTTACATTGTACAGTGGCATTAAGTGCCGAAATGTGCACCTCTGCCTACCCCTTCGTTGGTAAAAGGCGTGATGTTATGTATGTATGTGCAAAATTAAAGAATTCTCGACTTAGTTGTCTGTCGCAGATTTGTTAAAAGGCTACTCACCCATCAGTAGTACATTTGTAGGTGATAGTTCCGCTGTCATTCTCCTCGACTCCAAGCACTAGTCCAGGCTCATAGTTCTGCTCTTCATCAACCATAGCGTAAACGGACTGACCCTCCAAAGGCAACGCCTTCATATCTCCAAATATTATAAAGTCATCTAACAATACTTTAGTCTGGCCATCATCAAACCTGATCAGGTATTTGTTTGGCTCCGTAATCTCCAACACTTTTCCTGAATAGTATCGTTTGTCTACCCATTTAGCTAGTACTACCGTATCTGGCGCGTAACCAGGGTATTCTTGCTTCACTACAGCTTTTTCTACTGGTGTAGCTGGTCGCGGAGACGTAGGACGACCCTTCTTCTTCAACTTACTCACAGATTTAGGCGTAGCCACCAGTGACGATAATGGTTTTTCGTCTTTAGGTGATTTCACTGGAGACTCCTTCCCATTTTCACCATTAGTCGGCACCATTTCTGGTGAGTTCATCCCGTGCATGTACTCCGGTTCTTCAGGTTGAGTTGGCAGTAATGCTCGCTTAGTCTTCCCCGCAATAGGCCGTCGCCCTCGGACGCGTGTCTTCTTCAAAGAGCTCTTTGGAGTCGCCTTATCGCATTTGTTTACTTCTTCCGGACTTGCATTACCATTACTCATAGAACTGTCATTAGACGCAGATGTTTGAATACCCACAGAAACTTTGTCATCGCTCAAACCCTCATCTACGGAAGTCTCTCGGATATGCGAGAATATATCTTGTAGCTTCTTCATTAAGGCTTCATATCCCTTGACAGATGTTGTAGGGTTGGCGATGGATTTCCGCGGCGGTTGTGGTACAACAAACGCGCCATCACTCGTTCGGTTGCTTGACGTCGATGTCGAACTAACTGTTGACGCGAAAGATGTTCTATTCGGCAAATTGATCATACCGCCACTAGTAACACTGGATGGAGAATTGCTCACAGACACATCAGCTAAATACGGATCTATTGTGAACCTTTTAGAAATCCTCTGGTACTCTCTGCACATGTCCATCCCAAGGTCATTGTCCGTCCGAACAACATACAGAGACAGGAACTCGTTCTCCTCACTATGACTTATGTGGACGTCGAAGACTGGTATTTGTGGCGTGTTGATTGGAAGAGAGTGACCATTCGCTAAAGGCGAAATCGTTGATGGAGTAGCATTATTACTTGATCTGAACGACTCATTCTTCCCTCTCTTGTTCTTAATAGAGTTCAACTTGGCCATATCAGGAGTACTGTCACTGTCCTCAGCATTCTTACCATCGGAATTCTCGGTAGGAGTGGATGAATTGCCATTGGACAGTTTCGAGATCAACTTCGACGCGACGGTAGGTAGAGTATCTGGACTCTCCAAGTTGAGTGAACCGACACTATCAGTGCTTTCTTGGTCGGTAGTCTTTCCGATGTAATCTTTCACTTTGGGTTGGGAGAAGGCGCCTTGATCAGAGTACTTGTACCCTTCGCTTCTAGTATCATTAATTTTTCCAGGATTGAGTTCTTCCTTCCTGTCTTTAACAAGTACTGGGTCACTGTTGCTCGGAGTCTTAACTTTAATTGCATTGTCCTCAGGAGTTGGGGAAAGTTCTAGATGGAAGCCTTGCGAGTCATCCAACTCCGAGTTCTCTTCGGCAATTGTTTCTGGAACTTTCGGGGGTGGTATTTCAGTAATGAACTCGACACTGGGGCGTGAGGAACTATCGGAGAGGGATATAATTTCCTTTGGCTCATCTTTAGCTTTTCGTGGAGTTTTGTGAGAAGAGGTAACGTCGACGCTGGCTGGGCGAGACTTAGGGGTCTTTGGTGTTTTTGGTTTGGAGATTTCGGCGCTATTGCTTCGCTTGAGTCTTCTTGGGCTGGACCGGGCCGGAGTACGGACTCTAGAGGTGGATGGAAGCTCCACTTCTTCGAGTTTCCGTTTAGGTGCGCTGGTTATCTCGGAGACTTCGTCATCCAAGTTCTGTGTGGATACGGCAAACTCATCGTCGGTAAGTTCTAGTTTTTGGATCTTTGCGCTGCTATCTGACCGGTCGTCTGATAGCTTTCTTTTGGGCTGCGCTGTCGGTTCTTCTGTAAAACGAATATTTAAAAAAAATATTTTTATTGTATACAAGAGATAAGCAGAACTCGATCCCAGTCTTTGACTCAACATGTTTGCGATTATAGTGAAAATAGTGGTGCCAATTTTTATTGTACAATATACATTTTAATTTTAATAATCTTTTATGAAATGTAAAAAATGTAAACGAATGTAAGTGCCTTACCTTTTGTGTCTGACGATACCAGATTAACTTCGTCAGTTCCGCTGCTAACAGTCTGTAAATTAAACATACCTAAATAAAACAAAACATTGTGTATTTAAAAACAAAAGAAAAATAAATCAGCTTAAACATTATGCAATTGTAGAAATAAATAACTATTATAATTAATGACAATTTTAATTTCAATGAATTGTTTTCGTAGTTTTAATACTTGCTTTAGAGTTTCGACATAGCAATTAAAAAATAACGTGATTTTTCATAGTTATATTTTTCACGATGGTCATTACGTAGGTAGGTAGTATTTATAACTAAGAAGATAAAATTAAGAAATTTGCATACAGATAAAATTCTATCATATTTATTACACCTATTAAATTCTGAACTTAGTATTAAATAAATTAACTAATGCATTATCTATTAGGTAAAACAACAAGATTTTAAAATTTTTAATTTTCTACATATTGTTTTATTCAATTTAATGTAAGTATGGAGGCAGTATGGAGTTTTGCTACTCTGTAAAACATACTAAATGGATCCGAATGAAATTTTGCACAGACACTGAGAACAATCTCTAATAACTTGTCTACTTTGTAGACCAGTGTAGGAATAAAAGTTTGATAATACTCCTATCAATGTATTGTCTTTAACTACATATGTATAAAATAGACAATTTAATGGACAATTCACAGTACATGGTATCTATAAGGGTACAATGGGGATGATGGCAGGGTATGAAAATTAAAAATATAATTAGTCCGTAAGTTGGGTAATTAAAAAACATTAGACACGTATTTTTTTATTTTGTCGTATAATAAAACAATACTTAGATAAAACGAATCAATGTTTAGGAGTGGGGGCTAAAACGTCATTTCTTAGTATAAAATGTAGTGAGAAGTGACGTCACGCGACATTTCAAATCAATATATCTTCGAAACTATTTGTTTCCGTAAGAAAATAAAAAATACGTGTCTAATGTTTTTAAATAATCTACCAGACGGACATTAAAATAAAAATTAGTTGTCTACCCTATTGGGTACTTTCCTCAAAAATAGATTACAGTACAATAAAATTTTACAATATAATCACACTTTCATTAACTGATTTTATGAAAAACTTAATTTTAGTATTCTTCCAGAAAACTTTAAGAAATATGTATGCTGTTTGACGGTAAAAAAACGTGACGTCACAATACACAATCTCGTACAAAATTTATAGAAATCTGTCGACAGTTCGAAAAAAGTATTGAATTTCACTAGAAAGCAAGTACCCAATTGCTGACCGGCAGAAAAAATATTGTAAGGTGGGAATCATATAATATGACGAACTACACACTTAAATGTGTACATGCATTTACATGAATATGTGTGTGAGTGTCCCACACCCAGTAATACAAACAAAACCGCAGGCAAAAGCTTATGAAAATAGAAATGAAACAAACCACAACATCGTCATCGGGTTCGTAGACCGGACTGTCAGGAAAGAGGTTTTGGGAATCATCCTTATTGTTCGTGCTCCCCACATTGTTGTCACCTGCCGCATCCACTACTGGGACTTGGACTGCGGATTCTGGAAAAAGTAAAAAAATAGTATTTAGAATTAGATAGCTATGATTATCCTACTGACGGGGCTTAGACCTATCTTTCATCTTAAATAAAATGTTAAAGATGATTATTGTTTTTCTTAATTATCTAGACACAACAATTGATTAAACTTTTAAGTGAAACCTTCATTGTGATAAAAATAGCTTATACCTGTTTCACAATTTTAATTTTTTATTTAATCTTAAAAAATATTTACATACAATGTATACAATTTTTTTGTATGTGTTATAAAGTATAAATAAATAAATAAAATATTTTTAGTTTCTACAAAAAGCTAAATATCTTGAAAATCACAAGTTGCTCAGCTCTCTAGAAATACAACAATTTGCATCAAATAAAATTCTAAAACAAATATTTAAAATTAGAGTTCCATTTACAAAATAACAAATATACTTTCATGTTTAAATTACCAATCCTTCTATTCTCAAACAATTTAACATGTTCAATTATTTCAAAAATAGAACTGAATTTATTAAAATAAACTAAGTCTTTCTTGCCTGCCATTGGCCATACTAACTGAAATATAGTTTTAAAAATGGCCGCTAATAAAAGTGCAAGTGGTTTTACCATTTACTATCAAATCTTAGCTAGTATTAGAGAGGCCCATTATTTTAATAGTATTGATGGCTAAACAAAACTAGTTTTAATATGAACATGTTGCAACTTGTCTGAAAAGAATGAGTTGAACAGTTCAGTTGTACGATACAGTGTTCCATTTTTCAAGGTCCTTGTTAATTACTTTATTCTAGCCCGAGGATAGAATATAAATAAAACATTAGTAATTGAAATTTCTTTATTGTGATAATTTCACTTATTTGATATAACTCAGTATGGTGTAAAGCAGAATAATTAAAAAAAAAAAAAACAAAAATTATATATTCCAATTATTGGCATTAGTTACATTATGTTATTTCAGCTAAGATTTGTAATTAAAAAATTCGAATAGAAAATTTAGGTATTAATCTTACTAGAAATTGATTATAAATTAAAATATCTGTATTTTATGTGGTTCAGTTAATAGTTAATATTTAGAATTATTTAATTACTGCTACGATTTTGTACTGCAAGCATGTAGTTGAATAGAAACTTCGTAGTAGCTAATAACGAAACTACATCTATGGTCACTGTTACTGGCACAATGAGTCCAACTTTCATTATAACCTAAAAATGAAGCTTCTTCATTCCAAATACAAATCTAATTAGAACTATGGCAATCATCTCGAATTGTTAATAACAAACGAATATCTAATACTATTTTCCAGTAAAAATGACAAAAGCGGCGGTAAACGGAAACGTATTTGTAACTCAAAAATAGATACAAAACCTTATTGATGTTTGTGTTATAATCCGACCAAAACAAGTAGGTCAATTCTGTGCAAGACGACGACCTAGTGAAATCTAACTGAACCTGTAATTTTCTTGCACCTCGTCGAGAACAATGTTTAAGATCATACTAAAACTAGTCAAAAGTATATTAATATTCATCTACGACTGAGAACAACATTGAAAACATACAGATATTCTAATATAATTGAAAGTTACATGACGACATTTTAATTTTATTCGGCTAATATGATTGAATGTCAAACTTGAGCGTGAAAATAAATGGTAATTACTGTATGAATGCCGCAATTACCTGACACTGGCGGGTTACACTCCATTTCAACGGTATTATCCTTGATTTCTTCCATGTTTTACTCAATCAAAAAGCAGTAATAATCCAAAAGTGGCGCGAGTTAACACCGTAACATCTGTCACTTAGATTACGTTGAATCTCCAAGCATTTCTAAGTAGATAAATAAATATTAGAGTAACACTATTGAGTAGCTGGAACTAATACACTTTGAGAATACAATAAAACATAGGAAACTATGCAGGAAATTATATTTTTGTTAATTTTGCGAAGAAACCGACACAAGCTGCAAACCGCTCGCTTGTTGATCCGGCCTGAGTTGCCAGCATGAGAACTCCTAAATGCTACCAAAATATTTATGGAAGAATATATTGCAATCAATTTATGCCCTAAGTTAGAAAGAGAAAATAAAATCTTTTAACAATTAGTTTAATCGAATTCCACAAAAATCAACCTTTCTCTACCAAAATTCCATGAACTTCGATATTCAAAGTATTACGAAGGAAACATTTAATACTTCTATGGCAACATTGCGATTGATTCTGAATAATATGGTATAAAAGATGCGCTATAACGCGAATTTCTTACTTTTAGCATTAGTTAGTATCGTAGTATTATACATAAATAGTAATAACAATAATTTTATTTTCATAAATATTAACAATGGCAACAAGTAGTAGAGCTGCTCGCCTTGTAAAAGCTTTAGACAACTTGGTAACGAAGACATGTTTTGATTACGGTACAGTTCTCAAGAAAGTAAGTAAACACCCAGTTATTATAATTTTAAATAGATATTCAGGGATGGGATAAAGTTCATCATAGTTCATAATAGCATTTTGAATTTGGAAATCAATCAATATAATATTTTAAGGTGAGTTGTGTATGTAGGTAACTAACTAGGTACCGTCTGTTATAGCGACCTGTCAAGTATTCGTACCCACAAATTTTATTATGTGCTTCATGACACAAAAAATATACTGTGTTAGTATGTTCCCAGAGGAATACTTGTTATTATAGGAAGACAAATGATAATGCCACAGAAGAATTTGATTCTCATACTCACATATTACACGGGAATCTATGGGGTTTAGTTAGTATCTAATCTCTCTGTCTCCTTCAAACTACAGAGCAACTATATGTTTATTTAAAAAACAGGAGATATGATAATGGCATTATCATTTGGTCTAACGTCACAATTATTCAAAATGTTGACGTAAACTATAAACCACCTGACATTAGGTCGTAATCTGATGGGATTGCACTCGATGCTATTACCGAAACAAAGCATTGTGATGAGATTGATATCAATCTAAACATTATTATGTAATTTGAAGTAGGTAAACATCAAAACCATGTCATTTTTTGCCTTGTTATCACTAAATTTCTTGAATCAACTATTTGATAAGACCGAAATAAAGAAGATAATGTGTTTCTGTGTGCACTAACAGTGCGTGTTTTATATATGTGTGTTTATACATATACAAGTAGGTACACGGCTAAGTAAATCCATGTCTTATAACAGAAAAAGTCCCATAGTAATCTGTCTGTTCCCGATAAAGTCATATTATTGCTGATCGGATTTTGCATTTTAGCAAATGCGATTCTACTGCACGGTTGATGCGGTGGCTGGGCAACCCGCTGCCGCACATCGTGCAGTGTTTCGATTCCCGCTCGGAGCAACTCTTTGTGTGATCCACAAATTTTTGTTTCGGGTCTAGGTGTCATTATGTATGTGAACTTGTATGTTTGTAAATGCACCCACAACACAGGAGAAAACTTCAGTGTGGGTGAGTTTTGTAAAAAAAAAATCTTGAGGTATAATTAGGTCGAGGTATAGTTGGTAATCTGATGGTAAAATTATTTTTCTTATTTTATTTTGTTTTTCAACTCTGACTGAATTTTTAGAGATAAGCGTGTTTCAACATTTGAAGAATATTTTATGAAAAAATTAAAAATGATTCTCGTTAACTTAAAAATTATAAAAAGAGAATTAATTTGTCTAGACTGTTTCACATTAAAAATTAAGTAGATACACTAATTAGCTTTGTTTAATGCCGTAACAGATGATGGTCCCTATTATTAAATTAAAATATAAAATTTGTTACAAAATAATAAAATTATTACGTCAAAAGGCCATTGTCAAGGTGAAAAAGTTTAAGCTAATCAATCCTACGTTAATAATTAATGTACTTTATACTAAAAATACCAATGTCAATTACAAATAAATATTAATCCTTGTTATATTAAGTAATTATAAATATGAAAATGTGTTTTTTGTTTGTTTGTCATCTTAACTCATCCGAACCCAATAAATTAAATACCTTGCAGAGTTAACGCAATCTTGTTTATATATATGTTTCATGTTTCATTTCTAGGTAAAATTGACCACGGTGTCTAATGGAGCATTTCAAGGCACTTTCACTGTCGATAAATCTATGTGTAACATGGGAGGTTCCTTGCATGGAGGCTACATTGCAGCCGTGTCCGACGTTTTATCATTTTACACGCAACTTAGCAATGATGACGCTAAGCTCTCTTTTACTACTGGAATGAATATTAAGTAAGGCGCCTTTTTTCAGCTATGACTATTTTTAGGTACGATCTTTTCAATATTATATTAAATATGAAAAAAACATGCGTAATTTCTTGTTACAGTTACATTGGGGTAGCATTTGAAGGCGATACAGTCAACGTGGCTACCAAATCATTGAAAAAAGGGAACTCATCGGTGGTAGAAACGTACTTTCATAACGAAAAAGGAAAAATTTTAGCTAAATCAATCACTTCGTTTTTAGTTGGACCTGAACCGTTGCAAACAATAACGAAAGACGTTATAGGTTTTGATGTGTATGAAAATTGATTTGTAAAATTGTATACTAAATGTAAAATTACCATTTTATAGAAATTTTGACGATAGCAACTCTTAAATTTTATTTATTTACTGTGATTTTTTTTTTGGTATAAGGTAAGGTATTTGAAAATATTTTTAAAAATAAGGTGAAATATTTATTGATGTCTTAAGTGTAAGAGAAATAAAAGTGATAATAAAAGATTTCGTAAGAATATTTCATTTATTTACCTGCTTAAAACGAAATACCCACTCTTTAGGTTTACAATAAATGCGCACACTTTTCAATAATGGCGGGAAAATAAAATACTTAACTATTATCTAACCCGCATGGAATGGCTAAACGTAATAATCACAGATTATAAAGTAAGTGCGAGTAAGTAGCAGCTGGAGTTCCTTTTTTATACATTCATTTATCAAAATACCTACCTCAAAAGCTTTTAGAATTTTGAAATTACCTACATGATTCACACAATATTATGTTTAACAGTGGTATTTTCGTTTTTGGCGCTAAAATATTTGTTGACAAAGAAACGAGGCGGGATGCCATAACCGCTTTGCCGTTGGAAATGTCTTGGAACATATTTTCGTAAGTCACGTTTTAAAACATAAAGTCATGTCATTTTTGTCTTTATTTTTTAATTGTTATGCATATTTTTATGATAAACCTCTTTTCTATTTTTACAACTACCTGCCTACTTATTTGATGATTAACGACTTCAAAAACAGGAGAAACTCAGTTTGACCAGAATGTATATTATGTATGAATATTTGTGCGCAACTATCTCGCGTTTGGCTGAACCGATTTTGATGCGGTTTTTAGAAAAGTGTTAATAACACTTTTGACCCGGCCACACCAACGAGAAATACCATTGCTTATCGCGATAATGCACGTTCACCGTAGGTGTAGCCACGATTCAACGCGATAATTTAACAACGGCATTCACATTGCCGTTTTTCATGATGGGTTCACGTCGAAATTTCAACGCGGAGAACCTAACGGGTTTTTTTTTTATTTTATTTTTTTACCGGGGCTCCGGCTCGACGTGCAGGAGAAGGAACGGGGTGGTATTTAGTCAGTAAGAGTCTAACACTCCCCTCCCGCCTCGGCAAGGCGGGAGCAGTCATTCGATGATTTGCCCGTTAAAATTATCGGAATAATTATCGTAGTAAACATCACGATAATCGGCATTGACGTTGACGTTAGTGTGGCCCGAGCATTTTAGGCGAAGGATTTTAACCGACTTCATAAAAGAGGGGAGTTGAAGTTGGTTTTTTAACCGCTTGAATGCCCGTATATAAGACACAATAGAAAACACATTGTGTCTCGCGTCAACTCGCGTGGAACCGCGTTTAGACACACGACGGGTTAACTGTAGTTTACGAAAGATATACCTATCTATTATTGATAGTTTGTCGCGGAGAACCTAACGAGTTACCGGGGCTCCGGCTCGAAGTGCATGAGTAGGAACGGGGTGGTTTTTAGTCAGTAAGAGTCTGACACTCCCTCCCGCCTCACCCAGACAGGGGCAGTCATTCGATGATTTTTCCCCCTTAAAAAAAATACTGATACTTAATTAACAATTACGTATTACTTTTAATCGGATTATTACATTATTTATGAAGTTATTTACATATTATTTTTGCGCAATATTATGTAGGTACTATTGCGCGAATGGTCGATCGTGACATGTCAAGGGTCTTCTTCGAAAATTAGGAAACTGCTAAATTAATTAGATACTTACTTAAATATAATTAATCATAGTTTAATCAGAAACTCACTATGTGTGATGCCTTTGCGTTTACTGATACAAAGGTATCGTCACGTCTGTGTCCTGTTGGCGTAGACAGAGAAAATGAAACGCTTCGTAAAACAGAATAAGGTCTACACCACAAAACTACGTTCTTAATTTGATTAAGCAGAGTGCCAAGCCCGAATAACTATTGCATTCGTATCGTAACAGTATCGTTCTGATTGGTTGGTTCACTTGAGCCGGCCAATCAGAGGGCCGAACGCGCTCGATACTATTACGTTACGAATGCGACAGTTATTCGTGCTTGGCCCTCGAGGCCTTAGTACGAGTTTGTTTTACACTTTAGTTTTCGTAACGAGTACGCGTTCGGCGCTCTGATTGGTTGATTCATTGGGGCCGGCCAATCAGATTGTCGTTTCGAATACTTTAAAAGTAAATCAAACTCGTACTAAGGCCTCTGATATCAAAATGAAGTGCGGTGACTTTGTAGTGAAAAGTATTTACTAAATTATTTCATTTTTGTTTAAGCATGTTGGGCGATTAAGGGAACTAGGGTCGTCTTAGACTACGGGTAGGTGTACATTAATTCGGGGCCATTTGGAGTGTTTTTTTTTAACGCAGACCCGGAGAAACATTTTGTGGAGCATACAAACAGCTGCCAGTTGCCGCGCAACGTGTAGCTGGTGTGTGTCTGTCGCAGAAATTGTCGGTCCTTCGGGGCCCCCTGTGTATTGGGGGCCCTGGATACGGGCCCCGAGTATCCTTATGGTAAAGACGGTACTGGAACTATCGATAATAATGTAAAAAAAAACTAGCTACATATACTCTCAGTAGTAGCACGGAGTCTGGAATTGTGCCCGGCATATAGCAATAGGCTCACCCCCTATTACATAGGACTCATAACATAAATAGTGAAAAGTGGGTGTTATATTGTACAGTGGCATTAAGTGCCGTAATGTGCACCTCTGCCTATACCTTCGGGGACACAAGGCGTGATGTTTATATCATGCTATCTGTTGCATGACACTTTCAAAGTCAGAGATGTTTATTTGCATAAAAAAAGTATTATTTTGTAATTTATAATTAAAATTAATTGTGTAGGTCCATATTGAAACAGCTAAGTAAATGAATTTTAATGTTCACCATTATTATTTAATTCTTATAGGTTTTTTTTTTTTTTTTTTATCTTTATTTATTAACGAGGGTTTGATCACGCAGTGAACATGTCACCCTCATAGTTACCCTTAATTGTAATAAACTATACAAAAAAGCTTACATTAAATACATAAAATGAAATTAAATTAACATCTACGCTTAATTCCTATATTAACTAATTTGTATAATAATCTAGCAGCTTTAGCTGTCGGAAAAGCCAAAATAATGTTACAAATTCCTAAATCTTTAATATTAATTGAATGTTCAAAATTAATCATGCATCTCTCGGCTTCGTTTCGGACACATTCCAACATAATGTGCAATACGTCTTCAATTTTATTACATTCCGTACAGTTTGGAGATGAAACTTTACCCACCAATGCTGCAAAACAGTTCAATGGAATATGTCCGGAGCGAAGTCTGAAGGCTGTCACGATCTCTTGCCTGTTCATTTCGGTATTGTCAAACCAGGGATGGTTGTTAATGGTCGGTTGAACTGTCCGATACCAAATACCTTTGGATAGTGACTTTTCATCAAAATATTCCTTCCACATATCGTTGCCTCTTGCCTTAATGTCACATAAAACGTCTGACAAATGAGGTTCATATTCCACTGGCACACCTTCCAAACATGCATCCTTGGCTAGCTGATCTACTTTTTCATTTTCCTCAATACCGATATGTGAAGGCACCCATTGTAATACCACATTTTTATGTTGTTCCTTTAATTTTATAATTAAATTTATTATTTTGTAAGCCACCGGATTACCCTGGAAATTGCCCGTACATCTTATCAAGTGCTGAAGTGCGCTTTTACAATCAGTATAAATTACATAATTTTCAAAGTTTATTGATTCTAAATATGCCATGGCTTCAGCAATAGCAATTAATTCTGCATACATGATCGAAATTTTTGAATGTAACTGCAATTTAATAGTTATGTTATTTTGAGGGTCAAAAATCGCCGCTCCAACATTGTCTTGGTATTTAGAACCATCAGTATAAATCCTATAGTATGTGGAATAGTTATTTGTAAAGTAATTATTGCATAAATTCCGAAGTTGAAAATGATTACAAGATTTCTTTGACTTAATGACGTCTTTAATGAATGGCCTAACTATACAAGACAAGTTCACTCGACTTATCCATGTATCAAGCGAAAATCTACCTAATTGGTTGTTTGAAAACATTACTGTGTCATTTAGCGACTCGAATACGCTAACTATCAGTGGTATCTTTTTGTGTCTCCAGAACGCACGTTGACAAACTTGTCTGAGCTTTAATATTATTTCACAAGTATAATTGTTTGTTTGTGACTTGAGTTTCAAAAAATACTTACTAGCCAAATAATATCTACGAATGTACAAGGGCTGCAAATGTAGTTCACATTCCATTACATGAATGGCCGTACTTTTAATAAAACCACCTATTACCCTCAAACATTGATTTTGCATTTTAGTTAATTTATTTAAATGTGTTTGACAACTATTATCATATAAAAAACTGGCGTAATCAATTCTGCTTCGAATAATTGATATGTACAGTCGCCGTAAGTGAGAAGGATGAATACCCCAACCTGATCCCCTTAGCATCTTAAATGCATTTATTAATTTCGAAATTTTTTCCCTAATTTCGTTTATATGTTTCGCCCACCTCAGGGACCGATCTAACCATAATCCTAAGTATTTATAATTATCGACTGTTTGCAGAAATCTATTATTTATCTTTATATCGATTACATCTTTCTTATAGCCATTCTTAAATATACATACTTTGCTCTTTTCACTCGAAATGTTTAAACCGATATCCTGCACCAAATCGTTGAATAAATTTACAGCTACCTGCAACTTTGTTTTTGCCTCGATAATAGATTTAGTTGTATAATAAAGTACAAAATCATCTGCAAATTGTGAGATAGATACGTTTTTTATGATTTTACAAATGTTTACCGTAACTATATTAAATAATAACGGAGATAATGGGTCTCCTTGTGCTAGTCCACGACCGGTCGTTCTATAAATGCATGTATGTTCCAATTGTATTTTTAAATATCTGATTTGCAAAAAGTTCCATAAATAAGTAATTAATTTTATTCCTACCCCCATCCGATCCAATATTTTAAATAAACTATGTAAATCTACGTTATTATATGCACTGTCTAGATCCATAAAGCAACATACGGTCATTTGTTTATACGAAAACCCGGTTTGAATTTTAGATACCAACCTAGTGAGATTGTCTAGTGTTGACTGCGCTTTTCTAAAACCTGTTGTATTACGAGTTAACAGCTCATTTTTTTCTATAAACCATTCTAATCTATTGAATAGTATGTTATGAAAAATTTTGCATATACACGAGATCATTGATATCGGTCGGAGTGAAGATGCTAGACTCGGGTCACGTCCTGGTTTCGGTATCGGAACCACTATTATTTCGCGCCATTGTTTCGGTACAAAAGAGTTCATTAAAAAAAGGTTAAATAGGTTTACTAATATGATTTTACCATTCTGCGGTAGGTATTTTATCATAGAATAGATAACATTATCGCAGCCAGGCGATGTATCTTTGTGTTTAATACATCCATCTAGTTCTTGTATTGTAATAGCTATTTCAAGTGATGTATTAATCGACGTAGGCATAGGGGCATCACGGGATACGAAATCGGGTGCAAGACTACAAAGCAGCTCGTTTGCTTGAGCCGTGTCAATATAGGATTTCGGTGTTTTGTATCCTTTAATCCATCTCATTTTTTGCCACAACTCACTATGTGTAGAAGTTTGATCTAGGGAAGAACAAAAGTTCTGCCATGACTGATTTTTAGAGTTACGAATAGCTTTTTGGGCGTTACTGATTTTGTTTTGTAATATTTCAAGATTATGTGGTGACGGATTTCGACGAAACGTGGAGAGTGCTAGACGTCTTTCTGCTACCAGTTTAGAGAGGCCTGAATTCCAATAAGGCTTAGACTTAAAATTGCTTTCGGGATTTGAATTAAATTTTATATATGGTATACATGTATCTGCGGCTAAGTCTAAATTACTAATAAATAAATCATACTTTTTTTGTAAATCACTTGGTTCTTCGTATATCTCAAAAAGTTCGTGTAATAATTTTTGATATGCTACCCAGTCAGCTTTTTTATAATTCCGACGTGTCATGTAAACCTTACTCACCTCGAAGTATGTTGTCATTTTAATAATACGGTGGTCACTTCCCAAGGTCTCATTTAATACTTGCCAATTGATATTTAAACTTATATCTGAAGACGCTAGAGAAATATCGGGTGACGACTGTTGTAAAATACCATTAACTGCTTTAACTCGTGTGTGTTCCCCGGTATTTAAAGAAATTAAGTTGTTCTCAACCAGTGCCTCAAAAATGTGATTACCCCTCCTATCAGTTTTATTCGACCAATTGGAATGATGCCCGTTAAAGTCTCCTAAAAGCAAAGTGTGTTTATTTGCACCAGAAAATAAGTGTTCCCAGTCCAATTGGCTAATATTTGTCGATGGTGGGCAATACACTGATATAATATTATGAATTTGGTTACAGTTAAAAACTTTGACCTGCAAACATTCTATTCCTGGGTTATGGGATAACACCCCATTATGTATTTGAGTTCTAATAGATTTATGTGTGAGTATTGCTACTCCCCCGTAGGTATCCTCCCTGTCTTTGCGAAATACATTATAGTCTTTTATTTTAAAATTAATTTCTGATTGCAACCAAGTTTCGCTCAATACTGCTATGTGAATCTTGTCTTGTATTAACAAATTTTCAAATTCATTTAATTTAGGTTTGATACTTTGGCAATTCCATTGTATAATGTTCAATTTGGTAATATTCTTACAATTAACTGGCATTACAAAAATAGTCCATAATTAGTTTCAGTACAGGCCAATCCGTAACATTGTCAACTACTACTAGAATAACCCATTCAATACACGTTTTAATAACTCCTTTCCAAATCATTGAAGTAGTGTTTCCTTTCATAAATATAATTTCTTGCAGTCTTTGTAACAACTCCTTGAAACTCACATCGTTTTGCCTTTTACCAGTTTTACATGATTTTTGTGATTCCGTTTCATTCTGATCTACTTCGAAATTATTCCACTCCATCCAGTCTTCATCTGGCGATTTATTCGGTTTTTTACGAGAACTTGGTTTAGGTTTCTGTTTATGAACCTGTGCCATCGTTGTCACTTCCGCATAAGTTAGACGTTTTGTTCTTTGTGTGGGAGTTAGGCTTATCTCTTTGACCGATGAAACATTTATTGGAATTTCTTTTGTTTCTTCTTCTGCTTCCTGTATTGGTTCGTTTTCTGGCACGTATAAAGTTAAAGCTCTTCTATAAGTACAGTTATACTCCGACATGAGTTCTCTCAATCTCTTTTCTTTAATAAAGTAAGGGCAACTTTTTGAAAGAGATATGTGTTGTCCTTTACAATTAACGCATGTCATTTTAGAGATTTCACAGTTAGCATGGTTTCCGCCACATTTTGGGCATACCACTTTATTACTTGGACATCTTTTGAGAACGTGCCCAAATCTCCAGCAACGCGAACATTGCGAAACTGGAAAGACATACGGTTCTACCACTATTTTCAAGCCGTGTGTAAACACGTAACGTGGCAAGTACGAGCCTTTAAAGCATAAACGCACCGCTTCACTCGGAGACCATCCATCCCTTTCGACATTTCTTCGATTCAAACGATTAACGGACAAAAGTTTGGCTGGTTCAGGACAGGATATATTTTCTAAAATTTCCTCTTCCGACATCTCTAGATCTACATCTCTTATCACTCCATAGGATTTATTCTTCTCCATAGCCCTCTGAATTTGCCATCCCAAATCTATGAAGTATTGGCACGTTTCAAGTTTTTCCGCACTGATCTCACTGGTTAATTCTATTCGCACTCGGTACGGATTTATAAATTTAACTCGTATGATATCTTTGATGTTTTGCTCCTTCAGTAATTTGGCCAGATTAAACTGTTTTGGAAGTTTTTCATTATTGGATATATATAATTCAATCTTTTCTGTTTCCTTTCGCTTTTTCTGTTTAACTTCCGTCCACTCCTCATCGCTGCTACTTCTCATCCTTTTCTTTTTATCATCTTCTACATATTCATCGAAATTTACATTCATCGAATCTTTATTTAACTCATTACTTGAATCTTCGTTATCGCTCATTTTACTCGTAAACAAGTCGCATCTACTTCGGCGCAGGTAGCTCGCTGGCCGACCACGTACCGCACCTTCTTAGTTCGCATGCACTAAACAGTAGGGTACTCGCTCGCTCAACGTAAACAAGAACGCGACCGGTTCGTGCGAACACCGCGACGAGACTCCAATTCTTATAGGTTATAGGTAATTAATATTTATACTTACGTAGATATTACGTATATTAGAACTCCAGTAATTAGATAGCATTATAAGGTCATACATTTTAACCCTGTGTTGTTTTAGCATACCTATATACCTGGTAGGCAATTATCGTCATTAGTGATAATAATATGATGTAATACTTAGAGGGTGAACCTAATTGTCATAGACAGGCCACAATTCTAGACTCGGTGACTTTTTTTAAGAACCGAAAATACTCGACCTGAAAATGGAACCTGGGTCCCCCAATTAATTACCTTCGACGAGTCGCAGGTTGAAACCCACTTAGTTACTGGTAACAGACTTACAATTAATTTTCTTACAGATATTTAGACGATACATCGCTACAGACCGCGTGTCGTACAAGCAAAACATGGCTACGAATAATTTCTTCAAATAAGAAACTGCGAAATCGACTGAATCACTTCGAATTGGCAATTAAACTGGGCTCGGAAAGCTTAGCGAACTTCTATAGGAAGAATAAAAGAAAAATACCAAAGGATAAGAGGAGAACTTATTTGCCAGTCTGCAAAACTATGGGTACGTATTAAACATTATTGATTTAAATTTTATTTTTTGTCCATTTCTGCCACCATTTGTGCAATACGTACGTAGGTACATAATTTAGTTTTTTAAAATTAGTCTCACTAAAAACCACCCCGCCTACCTACTCTTGTTCTTCCAGCCGGAGCCAATCTCCCCAATTCCTGAATCCTCAACATTCCTCAAACTCCCAATAGGGCTGATGCCGATACGGAGTCGTGGGGGCTCCGGCTCGAAGAGCAGGAATAGGAACGGGGTGGTTTTTAGTCAGTAGGAGTCTGACACTCTCTCCCGCCTCACTCAGGCGGGAGAGTGTCATTCGAACGAAGTCATTCGACGATTTTCCCCCTCACTTAAAAAAATCTTAACTACCTACTTGTTTTTCTTTTAGTGACGTCAACGCATAAAACGATTTTGAAATCGAAACGTCGAGGCGACGATTTAACGGTGTACACGAAACGATTTAAATTATGCTGACGTCCACAGTCATGTTTAAAGTTTTTAAAAAAATAAAATACTTATGATAAAATCTGTGTTTCTGTCTAGTAAAATATAAATTACTTTGTTTACGTACTGAGACAAGCTGAGGATTAAAATGTTCGATTATTCTGATAACATAGCAATAATCGAACAAATCTGACATAAATAAAATACCTACGGTAAGGAAAACATCTGTCAGAACTCAGATCAAACGTCGCAAGTGGGGATGGATAGGCCATACGCTTCGAAGGGGTCCCGACCATATTTCCAAGCAAGCGCTGGATTGGAATCCCCAGGGAAAAAGGAAGCGTGGCCGCCCTCGGCAAACCTGGCGTCGTACTGTGATAGCAGAAACGGCGAGCATCGGAATAACGTGGAGTGAGGTGAAGCGAGAAGCTGAAGACCGATCGAGATGGAGAATCTCTGTGGACGCCCTCTGCTCCATCTAGGGGACATAGTCAAGTAAGTCAAGGAAAACATCGTGAGAGAAACTAAGAGTCCAGCTCTTAGTTTCTCAAACCTCCTTCGGGTGAAAAGAGGTTTTGTTAAAGAGCAATAGGTATGATGATAGGTTATGAAAATTAAAAATCTAGTTAGTCAGTCAGTTAGGTAATGAAAAAATGTTAAACACAATTTTTTTATATTTTGTCGTCTAATAAAACAATACTTACATAAAACGAATCAAAGTTTGGGAATAGGAGGTAGATACGTCATTTTATAGTAAAAATGGTATCTACTCAAAAGTGACGTCATGCGATATTAAAAAAAAACATATTCGAAACTATTCGTCTCCGTAAGATAATAAAAAAACGTGTTTAATATATTTAAATAATCTACCACACGGATAATCAAAATTAGTCATCCACCCTATTATAGGCCGATGACAATGAAAGGAAACCACGAACAACCAATTTAAAAAAAGAGTAAAATATAAACCAAAAATCAGTCTACGATAATAATCCCATAGATATTCATCTGAAACTTTGAATAACGACCTTTTAGCTAAGAGCCGCGATGTATCACAAATTGTGAACTGCAGTGTTCCATGGACGGGTGTGCGATCCATACATTATCTGGCGAAGTAAATTGTAAAACATTTCATGTGTGAACCGAGCCGACATGATATACTGATGTACGGGGGACTAGCGGACTGAACGCTTGCGTTTCCACGCACATTACATCGTGTGGAAATATTTTATATCGAAACTGTTTATGTAGATAGTAACATACCATAACATCACGCCTTTTATCCCCGATGCACATTATGCCACTGTACAATGTAACACCCACTTTTCAATATTTATGTTACGAGTCCCATGTAATAGGGGGTGAGCCTATTGCCATATACCGGGCACAATTCCAGACTCCGTGCTACTACTGAGAATTAAAAAACCCAGTAATACATTGCCCGACCTGTTAATTAAGCGCGAGACCCCTTGCTCGGCAGTCGCAGTTGCGACCACTCGCTCAACGAGACAGAAGAATTGGGTAGTTTCCTGGGTCAAAAATAAATTATTTTGATTTTTCAGTCCAATTAAATATTGAAAAATAGTTACACTTTCATTCATTGATTTGCCGATATACTTAATTTTCGATTTATTCTAGCATTTTTTTTAGATTTAAGTGTGGTATTTGACGCGAAAATATGATGACGTCATAAGATGGTATTTCGTACTTCAAAAATTCATAGAACAGTATCGTATTTGACGTTTCGATAAAAGTATTGAACTTGACTAGCTGTCAACTACCTACCGTATCAAATAAATATTCAAATTTTTAACTGTAACACTTGAAGTAAGTTTAAAAGCAGTTACTGTCAAATCAACCCCACTTCTTTATCCGGGGCCTGAGTGCCAAGGTGTAAGGAAGTCACGTAAAAAAATAAATAAAACTTCGCTCCACTGAATATTAGTACGTGCAGAAAAAGATTACTTCAAAACTGTTCCGAGTCTTTATTTGATAAACTTTCTTTTATTACTTGCTCGGGTCTGTTTTATTTGTTTTCATTGCTTCGGTGTATTTGGTAAAGTGTGGCAAATGGCTATTGATAGTAAATTAGAATTACAGTAGGTACTGAGAACGGAGACTTTTACTGGAGGTAGTAACTGAATAAGCTCACAATTATTGTACCAATATTTCTTAGGTATAGGTGCATAACATAACATCACGCCTTTTATCCCCGAAGGGGTAGGCATTACGGCATTTAATGCATCTTTTCTAGTTAACCAAAGCACGAAAGAGCAAGAAGAGAAAGCATGAGTACGGCTATCCTATCCCCATTCCCCAAAATAACCCGAATCCCTAAAAGGCGGGCAACGCAATTGTAACTCTTTGGTGATCTGGTGATCCATATGCTGGTTTGCCGGCCAATCCCATAATAAAGAAGTAAAGAATGATTCCTACAAACCAGCTTCAACCCCTTTTTATTTATGATGGACGATACTATCCAATGACTTCTCCCGCCCTGGTGAGCCGAGACGTTCCTGTTCCTGCTCTTCGAGCCGGAGCCCCGGCAACCCGTTAAGTCCTTCGCGGTTCCGTATTGGCATCAGCCCTATTTGGCTCCATCTATGGCAGTCTGATGGCTCTTTGAAGCGCGGAAGCTTCAACCCCTTAACCTAAGATCAGTCTATGCACCCTAATCAAGCTTTGAAACACACAGTGGGAGAATGCCCTGCGTGGGCTGAGCACCGCCGTGCCCTCAGGGAAGTGATCGGCGATGGCGACCTCTCGCGTCCGGGCCTAGTGCAGGCCATGATGCGGAGCGAGGGGGACACCGGGCGAAGGACACACCGGGCGTCGGGGATCGCGGGACGATCTCCGGCCACCGTAAGCTCGGGACTGCGGGCGGCGAGCATGGGTGGCTCCCCGTCCGACCAGAAAGAGACCCGATCGTACGGCACGTCGCGTTCCGCGCGCGCCTCAAAGAGCCATCAGACCACCACAGTTGGGGCCCAATAGGGCTGTTGCCGATTCGGAGTCGCGGAGAACCTAACGGGTAACCGGGGTTCCGACTCGACGTGCAGGAGAATGAACGGGGTGGTTTTTAGTCAGTAAGAGTCTGACACTCCCTTCCGCCTCACCCAGGCGGGAGCAGTCACTAAATGATTTTCACCCCTTAAAAAAAAATCAAGCTTTGAGCTCATCCAATTTCCCCCAAAGGTAAACCTATACAAAACATTAAAATTCAAAACAGGTACAAAGTGTAAAGATGCTAAGTAATTAGTTTTCTTGTCATACCCCTGTCACAATATTTGGAGGACAAATGTTGGGCCAACAAATTCAGTGGAAGAGTCGTGATAAATGATCGCACACTTCATTAGCGAATGAGGTTTTATAGCGATTACTCGTGCACAGATTATGTTTAAGTTAATCGATTGTTTTGTTAGGTAATCGAGTTGTAGTGTTGTCTTTTTTTCAACCGACTTCAAAAAAAACGGAGGAGGTTCTTAATTCGACTGTATGTCTTTTTTATGTTTGTTACTCGATTACTCGAAGACGCCTGGACCGATTTAAAAAATTCTTTTTTTGTTTGAAGGGTAGGTTTGTCATTTGGTCCACTGTCATGAAGTCAGGATCTGATGATGGAATCCCAGGGAAACCGAGGGGAACATTTAAAAATTATAGGGGCGACTAGTGCATTTTTTAATTTTTTCGTTAAGTATTTAAAACCACTACAATCTGATAACGGTCTGGAGCTGATCTGATGATGGAGTCAATAGGCAGTCGAGGGAACTCCTCAACGGTTAACAATAGCTACATTGTGTTTGGGTTTGATCAATTTGTATTGAAGAGGACCTAGGTGGTATCATCGAGTGTCCTCGTATACTTTCGAGCGTCCTCGAAAACTATCGAGCCTCCTCGAACACTTTCGAGCATCGTCGGAACCTATTGAGCGTC